CCTCTCTTTTCTAAGTGTAATCAAAACGGATCTAACATGCTCTACATGCTCAAGCAAATTCTTTGAATAAATCAAAATATCATCAAAATACACAACAACATACTTCCCCAAGTATTCTCTCAAAACATGATTCATTAAGCGCATAAATGTACTAGGAGCATTAGTTAACCCAAAAGGCATAACAAGCCATTCGTACAATCCAAATTTAGTTTTGAAACCTGTTTTCCGTTCATCTCCTACATGCATCCTAATTTGATGATATCCAGATTTCAAATCAATCTTTGTAAATAGACAAGAACCATGCAATTCATCAAGTATATCATCTAGCCTAGGAATAGGATGACGATACTTTACAGTGATTTTATTGATGGCTCTGCAGTCCACACACATGCGCCAAGTTCCATCCTTCTTTGGCACCAATATGACCGGTACAGAACATGGACTCAAACTTTCGCGAACATAGTCTTTCTCCATGAGCTCCTCCACTTGCCTTTGAATTTCCTTTGTCTCAGTTGGATTTGCTCTATAAGCCGGCCTATTTGGAATGGTAGCCCCCGGTATGAAGTCTATTTGATGTTCAATACCTCTAATTGAAGGTAACCCTTTAGGTATATCTTCTTGGAACACGTCCTCAAATTCCTGCAAAAGAGGTTGAAACAAACTCGGCAAAGGCAAAAGGTTATCGTTAGAAGCCAAATACCCTTCTTTGTACATAAGTACAAATATGGGTTTTTGGGAAAACATTGCTCTTCTCACCTCTCCCACTCTAGCCAAACAACTGAATTTCTTTTCTTTTCTATCAATTTCATCTCTTTTTTCCTCTTTTCTCCACTTTTTCTTTCTTTCTCATTTTCCTCTATTTTTTCACCCATCTCATTCTTTTCTTTCAATTCTTCTTCTTCAAACTCTTTTCTTTTCTTCTCCAACTTTAATTGATCAGCAAATACATCTTCCGAACGCAAAGGTACAAGAGTTGTTTTTTTAACATCTTTTCTAAAAGAGTACCTATTCAAATAACCATCATAGATGACCTTCCTATCAAATTGCCAAGGTCGGCCAAGCAAGATGTCACCGGCATGCATAGGTAATACATCACATAMAATCTCATCTKTAKACTTTCCTAAGGTAAAAGAAATTAAAGCTTGAGAAACAACCTTCATTKTTCCACTATCGTTGAGCCACTGAAGCTTGTAAGGTTTAGGATGGTGTTGAGTTGGAATTTGCAGCCTTTTGATCAAGAATGTACTTACTACATTGGTGCAACTTCCACTGTCGATAACAAGACTACAAGGAGTCCCATTAACTAAACACCGTGTGTGGAATAAGTTGTCTCTTTGGTCATTAACATCATCCCCCKTAACTTGAGTGTTWAGAAGTCTCCTTGTAACAAGTGCCAAATGACTCCCATCTTCCAATTCCTCYTCATCCTCCTGGAGCTTTTCWTCAATTAGCTCATCTTGGTCACTTTCYTCACCATCCGTAACAACTTCTCCATTCTTAATGATCATGACTCTCTTGTTTGGACAATCACGGCTAATATGACCAATCCCTTGACATTTCCAACATTTGATGTCCCTGTTTCTCTCTCGAACCTCTTTAGATCCCTCCACTTTTTCCTTGC